CTCCTCCCAGGTTACTATGGTCTACAGGGGAAAGGGAATAAAGAAATGTTAGGAGGCAGGACACCCAAAATGCTTCCCAACTCACTCTGACTGGGCTTCCCCTTTTACTCCAGCAGATACTGTCCGCTCCACTCCCTCCACTGAGCGAGAAGGTTGCTCTGATTCAGCAGGACTCTCTTTTCCCACTTTTTTTTTTTTTTTTTTTGAGACAAAGTCTTGCTTTGTTACTCAGGCTGGAGTGCAGTGGCAAGATCTTGGCTCACTGCAACCTCCGCCTGCTGGGTTCAAGTGAGTCCCATGCCTCAACCACCCGAGCAGCTGGGATTACAGGTGTGCACCACCATGCCTGGCTAATTTTTGTATTTTCAGTAGAGACAAGATTTCTCCATGTTGGCCAGGCTGAGCTCGAACTCCTAAACTCAGTGATCCACCCACCAGGCTTCCTAAAGTGCTGTGACTATATTTGTGAGCCATCACGCCCAGCTTCCCACTCCTAAAGGCCACCGAGAGGGCCCAAAGTTCTCTACAGTGATCTTGGGGGAGACCAGGAGTGGCAGCAGGATAAGCAGAGGTGAAATTGGGGAGGGCGTTGATGAAGAATGGAGACTTTTTCCTCTGGATACCTCTGGCTGACCTATAGGGACTTTTGGGAAAAAAGAGATTGGTTGGGAGTCCTACCAGGTAATCTCATTTCTCCTCTTTCTCAGTTTCGAGGACAGTTGAAGTATCCTTAGAAATAAAGGGTCAACCCCCCTGGGCCTGGGCATTCCAATCAATCTTTATTGAGTTCTACCTAGGCACAGGCCATAAACAGGGAGCTCAGAGTATTGCACAGAGGGAGGATCAGTAAATAGGTAACTGTGACACCAGGCAAGAGTGAGGGAGGGGAGTGGGGCAGGCAGAGTGAAATCTTTACGGAAGTTAGGAGTTAATTAGATTGGAGAGAATGGGGAATTTCTAGCAAGGAAAGAAACAGCTAGAAATAGCAGTAAAAGAGAAGGGCAATTAGTTCTGAAGGGCTCTAACCTAGAATGTTATGCAGGCAACTGAAGAGCTGATTCACAGAGACCCTTGTATGCCGAGCTGAGTTTAATAGATAATGTAATGTAATAGATCAGCACTGAAAAGGTTTAAGTCAGAGTGACGTGATCACGTTTGTATTTGAGGTAGACCCTGTGGCTATTGCATGCAGATTAGAGGAGGGTTAAGACTGAGAACTAGCTGGGTGTCGAGCCTTACGCCCATAATCCCAGCATTTGGGAAGCCAAGATGGGAGAATCACTTGAAGTCAACAGTTAGAGACCAGCCTGGGTAACACATGAGACCCCATCTCTACCAAAAAATACTAATTTAGGGCACCAGGTGAGAAATGAAGGACTGGATTGGGGTGGTGATAGAGGAAGGTTAGGAGGGAACACAGGAGAGCCATTTAAAAGAGTGATGCTCAACAGAAATAAAATGGGTCAGGAGCTGTATTAGAAAAGTAAAGAAAGCCTGTAATCTGGGCACTTTGGGAGGCCGAGGTGGGTGGATCACCTGAGGTCAGGAGTTCAAGACCAGCCTGGCCATCGTGGTGAAACCCCATCCAAAAAAAAAAAAAAAAGTAAAGAATATGTTTTAGTTAACCGAAAATATTCAAAATATTATGATTTCAGCATGAGAACAATATAAACATTTCTGACATGCTTTATGTTCTTTTTATTTGGCATTGTCTGAAAGTCCACTTACAGCAGAGCTAGATTTGGACTAGTTACACTTCAAGTGTTCAATGGCCATCTGAAGTTGGCAGCTGCCATGCTGGGTAGTGCAGAAAAGATACAAAGATTTCTTGGCCAACTGGATGTGGGGTGTGGTGTGTGGTGTGTGTGTGTGTGTGTGTGTGTGTGTGTGTGTGTGTGTGTTGGGAGCCCAGAAGTGAGGAAACAAGAGATATTCACCATGACTCTCAGGTCTCTGTCCTGGCTGTTTATTGCAATTAGTAGAGATAGTAGATATAAAAGTGGAGTAGGTTTGGATAGGAAGACAGAGAATTTGGGTTTGATGTTGGGCATTCAAATGGAAATTGGTTCCAGGACTCCCACCCTACAAAATCTGCTGAATATGCTGACTAAAATGGCTTAGTATCTGTAGAGAACCTATGTATATCCTCCTGTATACTTTATTATTATTATTATTTTGAGACAGAATCTTGCTCTGTCACCCAGGCTAGAGTGCAATGGCATGATCTTGGCTCACTGCAACCTCAGGCTCCCGGGTTCAAGCAATTCTCTTGCCTCAGTCTCCCAAGTAGCTGGGGTTACAGGTGTGCGACACCACGCCCGGCTAATTTTTGGTATTTTTAGCACACCATGTTGGCCAGGCTGGTCTTGAATTCCTGACCTCAAGTGATCGGTCTGCCTTGGCCTCTCAAAGTGCTGGGATTGTGGGTGTGAACCACCATGCCCAGCCTTTTCCCATATGCTTTAAATGGTGTCTAGATGACTAATAATACTTAATGCAATGTAAATGTTCTGTAAGTAGTTGTTATACTTTATTGTTTTTATTTGTATCATTTTGTATTTTTTATTTATTTTTATTTTTCCCAAATATTTTCCATTTGCAGTTGGCTGAAGCTGTGGATGCAGAACCCATGAATACGGAGGGCCAACTGCATTTTGCAGGCAGTTGGAAACATTGCCCTGGAGCTCAGGAGATGGCTCTGGCTGGAGAGTACATGCCAAGGGCGGCCTATAGATGGAGGCAGAAGGCATGGGTGTAGATGGTTTAGCCTGTGGAGCGTTTTGTGATGGCTAAGTATGCAGACAAAAGGGAGAAGACATTAGGAACAAAACTCTGGGGCGGGGGAGAAACTCCGGTTTAAAGGATGAATAGGACCTGTAAAGGAGACAAGAAGGAGGCCAGGCGCAGTGGCTCACGCCTGTAATCCTAGCACTTTGGGAGGCCGAGGTGGGTGGATCACCTGAGGTCAGGAGTTCAAGACCAGCCTGGCCATCGTGGTGAAACCCTATCTTTTTTTTTTTTTTTTGAGGCGGAGTTTCGCTCTTGTTACCCAGGCTGGAGTGCAATGGTGCGATCTCGGCTCACCGCAACCTCTGCCTCCTGGGTTCAGGCAATTCTCCTGCCTCAGCCTCCTGAGTAGCTGGGATTACAGGCACGCGCCACCATGCCCAGCTAATTTTTTTTGTATTTTTAGTAGAGACGGGGTTTCACCATGATGACCAGGATGGTCTCGATCTCTCGACCTCGTGATCCACCCGCCTCGGCCTCCCAAAGTGCTGGGATTACAGGCTTGAGCCACTGCGCCCGGCGAAACCCTATCTTTAAAAAAAAAAAAAAAAAAAGAGACAAGAAGGAATATGTACGAAGTAGAAAGAAATGCAGGAGAGTGAAGTTAGTGAGGCTTAAGTAAGAGAGACTCTGGGTGAGCAACAGCGTCACAGGCTGGAGGGTGAGCAAATGGTTGCTCTTCGGTCTGGGTTGGCCTGTTTTTTGCCCTTTCGGCTGGTGATAAGAGGGGGCAGGGAAGAAGCAGGAGAGACGGGAAGCACCAGGACCTGTTAGCTCCAGAGACTGGTATCCTGGGGGCCGCACTGCCTGCTCTGGCTCGGGGAGGTCACTTGGTTTTGCCCCATATTGTTAGGAGTCTCCTGTGATCCCTCCTTCCGGTCTGCCCCCTAGCCAGGGGAACCGTACCTGGCATTTTCGTCCATCGATGCTCCTGAGGTCCTCCTCAAATGCCTCTCCCACGTTGAACTGCACAGTGTAATTTCGGAAGGTGCTGAGGGTCTTCACTGTCATGTGGTTGCCCTGGTGGTGGATCTCCTTGTCCGGCTTCAGCAGCACAGCGATCTTCCGCAGAGCCAAGCTGATGTCTGTGGGGGCTGCCTCTTAGCAGGGATGCTGCCGGCCAGCCAGGAGCTCCCCTGCCTGCAGCAGCCCCTCAGGGCTATAAGTTTCCCTTCTTGGGATTTGGGACTGTGGATTCACCCCCTCCTAGCAATGCCTGGTTAGAAAGGAATCCCAGGTCGGGCGCCAGCTGCCTGAGCCATCCCCCAGTGTCCAACCCCGGGCATTCCCTCTTCTCCAGGGGCCTAAGAGGCAGGAAGGGCGAGGGAAGAAAGGAAGTGACCGGGGTCTGGGAGGGCGAGGCCATTACTTAGGGCTTGCAGGTAGTCCTCCATGTTCTTTTGCGAGACAAAGCAGTAGTAGCCAGTGAGGTTGGGAGGCATCGTGCAGATCAAGGTTTCAGGAGAATACAGGAGGCAGGGTGAGGAAGAAGGGGCTGTTGTCTGGCAGGTGAGGCTGAGAGACTCAGGCCAGCCCCCCGACAGAGACAGGATGAGTAAAGGCCTGGTTACCAGGGCTTTTATAGAGATGGAGTCCTGTTGCGATAAGAGTCCCTGCCGGACTTCCTCCCTCCCCCCTCCCAATGATGAGTTTGGGACTGGTGTCTGCAGCCTGAAGGAGGGGCAGGGATTTGGCAAAGTTGTGCAGGACCTTGGCTTTTCCTGAGTAAGGAACCTGGGGCGGGATCTGGGGTTGTCAGTCACCCAAAACCCGAGCCATCCAAAGGTCACTTTTGGGCTTCACCTCATTTTTGGCAGGCTTGGGAACCGTCCCAGGGCTTGAGGGGCAGTCTCTCCTGGGAGGCACCTGAGGCTGGTCTGGCTGTGTGAGGTGGAGATAAGTTCGAACAATATCCTGAGGTCCTGGGACTGAGTGATGTTGGAAGGTGTGAGGGAAGGCGGTGAGGACAGCCAGCTGGCCGGGAGCCACCGTGAGGAGCAGCACCCTGTAGCCCTGGCCCCCCTAGCTCCCTCAGGCAGTGTGCTCAACTGCGACCCTAAAGTGGCATTCCAGACTCTTGGTCCTATAGAGCCATTAGGAGGCAGGCAGAGAAACTGCTCTTCCTAGGCAGAGGGGGCTGTCAGCAGCCCGAGGGGTGCTGAGTTCAGGGTGCTGAGTTCAAAGTCAGGAGCAGACAGCCAGAGAGGAGTTTGTTGGCTCTACTGGAGAATTTTATTCTCTTTGGCTTGGGACGCAGAGGGTTTTCTCTCTCTTTGAGTCGTCGATGAGACCATAACCTCCAGTCCCCAGCCTATGCTTTCCAGATGTATTTCTGTGGGGGTGGGGTGGGGGCGCCTACATAATCGTGTGCCCCGCCCCCAGCTGCCCCCTTCTCTCTCGAACCTGCCATCGTCCCAGGCTTCAGAATCCACTGGGCTTGGTTCATCATGGTTTAAGGTGAAATTCGGGGCGAGGGAGGCAGGGCAGGTAGGCAGGAAGAGGCGGCCCATTCCGACAGGTGCGCGCGCGAGGGGTGCAGGACGTCCGACCGCTCCTCGCGTCCCAGAGCCCCGCTACCGCCCTGCGGACCGCCCTGTGGCCTCCTCGCAGACCTAGGCTACACACGCCAGGGGTTCTCAGGCTCAGACTGAGGGTTTTACTTCACCGTTCCCACAGGGCACGCAGCAGGGACCTGTGCACGGAAGAGGCTGTGAAAAGAGGTTAATGCAGAGTTGGGGGGCGGGGTGACGCGATGCCACCCCTCCGGGCCGCCCTCGGGTCCCGCTGACGTCTCTCTTCCCCACCCCCTGGCTTCTGGCTTCTTTCTCCCCACGTCCCTCTTCTTTCCCACCCGCGCCGTGGCTCTCCAGCTTCCTCCCCAGCCCCCGCAGTTCCTCGGCTCCCCCAAATTGCAGCCAGGGGAAGGAGCCCTGAAGCTCTCCAGCCCCGACGCCCCAGTCCCATTGGCTCCCTCCCCCGCTGCAGCACCTGGTCCCCCCCCAGCCACCTGATTGGCCGGCGGCCCCGTCAGTCCTGGCCCGGCTGTGCTGACGTCATCCTGCAGTAGCGGGGTTCGGGTGGGAGTGAGAGATTGAAGACGCTGGGCTCGGGGGGAACGCGAAGCCGCCGCAAGTCCCCCGCCTCAGCCACCCGGATTGGGGTCTGCCCAGGTCCGCTCTATGGACTAGCGTGGGCCGCAGGCTCCTCTCTGTCCCTGCCCTGCTGTCCCCCGCTCCAAGGGGAGCCCCTGTATCCCTCCCGCAAGGTGGAACCCGCAGGCTGGAGGCTCCCACGGGAGGCAGCCGCTTGGCCCTGCCCTGCCCCGCGCCGCGCCATGACCCTCCTGCTGCTGCCCCTCCTGCTGGCCTGTCTGCTCGCCTCCTGCTCCTGTAACAAAGGTGAGTGAGGTGGGGGTGGAGGCCCTGAAAGAGGGGCGTCGGGCAGCGCCGGGCAGGGCGGCGGGGCTCCCTGGCACCTGACAGGTGTCCGCTCCTCCCCATCCGTGTTCTCAGACCTGCTCCGTCTCCTCTCGCTCTCTTCCCCCCCGCCACATCTTCCTCTCTGGTCCGTCTCTACCCATGCGCGTCTCTTGTGGGTCGTCTTGCTCCCATTTGGTCTCCATTCCCGTCCTGGGGTCTCTATTTCTCCCCTCCCCCAATTTCTGCACGCCGGTAGCGACCTCGGGTCTGGGAAGGACTGTCGGGGGTTGGGGGGGGGGGGCTGTACGTCTCCCAGTGGCTCTCCCATTCCCTGGCGCATGCTGAGGGTGTGTGGCGATCCATCTGCTTCGCCTCCATCCCATCCTGGGGAGAAACTATGTGCTGCCGCTCGGCGATTCGGAGCACGCATGTTCCTGCGTGTGCCTCTGCATTCATACCCTCACCCTGCATCAGCTGGGCTGCGGGTTCCCGGAGCTGCCCTCTCTGGCAGACGGCGGATCCATTCCGCTGGGCGGGGCTGTCGGAGGGGCGCAGAGGGAGGGCGGGACGGAGGGCTTGGGGGCAGAGGGCTCAGGTGGGTGGGAACGGTGCAGAACGGCAGGAAAGGGCAGAAGTGGGTGTGTGGGGGGCGCTGGATGAGTAGTGTGAGGGAAAGCTGAGAAGAAGGCCGGAGATGCGGCTTGGGAGGGGGGTGAGGAGGGGCTGGAAAAGGGTAAAGGTGGAGGCAGAAAAAAGAGGGAGGAATGAGAGGAAAATCAGGAAAAGAGAGTCAAGGAGGAGCCCGGGAGCCTAGGAGTGAAAGGGAGCAAAGGCAGAGGCCGCAGGGGGCCAGGAGGAGAGGAGACTGAGGCTGAGACTCAGGGAGACAAGCAGGGTGGGAGCGGGCTGTGCAGAAGGCGCCCGGCCCTGCCCTTCCGTCGCGCTCTCCTGCTCTCCCCCATCTCTGACCTCAGCCTCGCCTCTTAGCCTCCTGTGCACCATCTTGTGGCTTTTTCCTCAGCATTCAGGAAGGGGTTATGGTGGTCATCAGTAAGAAAGCCTTCCCGAGCCAAAGGCTTGCTGGGGTGTGGTTGGAGGAGAGAATGGAAATCAGGGTTTCTTGCTCACTGTGAGGTGCTGGGAATGAGGTTCCCTTTGGTGACTCAGTTTCCCTCTGCATCATGGGTGTACTTTGGGAGCCTGGGTGTTGCCATGGTGGGATTAGATAGGGCAAGCCTGGAGGCTGGGGTGGGGGGCTATGGGGAAGGGGAGGGAACATGCTTCCCCACAGCCCCTCACCAGGCTGAATCTGGTAGAAGATGGGGCAATCTGGAGTCTGCTGAGTCCCACATCCATTCTGAATTGGCTGGTGTTGAAGGTAGATAAGAACTGGGATTACGTTCTGTATGAAAAGTGGGTTTCATGGAATCTGGTCTGACGGTCTTGTGGAGGACATGGAAATGTGCTGGTTTTGAATGTGTTCTCTTGGGTGTGGGGGTGGGAATCAGGGAGGGGATTTGTCATGTTTCTGGGCCAGCCCAATAATCCCTTAGGATGACGGCTCTGCTGGGTCCAGTCGCTCGGCTTTGATTCCTCTGCTCCTTTCCTGTCCCTCTCTGCCCCCTCCCTCTGTCCTACATAGCTTCTCTTCTCTCCTTTCTCCCCATCCTGAGCTCCGGGAGAATGGCCCCAAGCTGGGGCTTGGCTGGGAGAAGGGCAGAGTGACGGGATCAGGACTGAAATGAGTTGGGGACGAGGATAAGCAATCAGGATCTCAGGAAACTTCTAGATCTTTTTCTAGATCTTTTTCTAGTCTCAATGCTGCCCTTAATCTATCCCTTCCCTTTCCCGGGGCCTTCTCACGGCCCACCACTGCTCCCTGAAGTTCCCAGTCTCCATTCTCTAGCTCATGAAACCCCTAAAGAATATCCTCCACTTTCTGACCGTGGTTCCCAGGGAGGTGGTGGTCCCCTCCTCCTCACCCCCAGGGCAGGTTGTTTCCATGCAAACTGTCTACCCTGCTCTAGGAGACGGCTGTGACCTCCTGCAGACTCTCTGACTCCTTTAGTAGCTGATTTCTTGTCCTCAGCGACCCGCCTCCTGCAAGGTGCTCCTATAGGGGGTAGAAAGGGTGATGGTGCCGGGGTGTGAGTTGTCTGGGTCAATAAGGGGTTATTGGGGGAGCAGAGGCCCTGCTTACAGGCGCTTCATCTCCTCTTCCTGGGGCGGGGCCAGCCAACAAGCACAAGCCATGGATCGAGGCAGAGTACCAGGGCATTGTCATGGAGAATGATAACACGGTCCTGCTGAACCCACCACTCTTTGCCTTGGACAAGGATGCCCCGCTGCACTATGCAGGTAATTCAGGTTGGGGGTTGGCAAGGCAGTGTAGGACAGAGAAAAGCGGGGGAGGGGGCCAAGAACAAGGGAGGGAGGGAAGGGCCTGGGAGGGATGAGAAAGAAAGGGAAGAGGCCTCAGAAAAATGAAGGCAGACTCAAGGAAAGGAATGGCCTCCACTGAAGAATGGAGATTGAGTCGAGGAAGATAGAAAAGGACATGGGCAGCCAAGGGTTAAACACATCATGATTTTTCCAGATCTCAGGCCTGGAGGCTCTGGGAGGTGCTGCTCAGGGAAGCTGGGCTTGGAGTTGTGTGTTTGATAATTAATGCTTTTATGCCTACCGGAGAAGGGACCGCGCTTCCTTTGGGAGGAAAGGTGGAGCCGGACCCCAGGTGGGGAGGCTGAGGGTGGGGAAGGAGACACAGCAGCCTCACTCCTCCCCTTCTCCCTTTTGCCAGGTGAGATCTGTGGCTTCCGGCTCCATGGGTCTGGGGTGCCCTTTGAGGCTGTGATCCTTGACAAGGCAACAGGAGAGGGGCTGATCCGTGCCAAGGAGCCTGTGGACTGCGAGGCCCAGAAGGAACACACCTTCACCATCCAGGCCTACGACTGTGGCGAGGGCCCGGACGGGGCCAACACCAAGAAGTCCCACAAGTGAGGAAGCGCTTGTCTCCTGCCCCGTGTGCTACAGGGTCCTATTCCCTGCCCCCAAGCCCACCATCCTCTGTCCGTGCAGTCACCGAACATCCACCCCTGACCCGCTGCTGTTCCTAGGACTTAGGGAGCCCCATCCCCTGCTGGTCCTAGGATTTAGGGACCTTCAGGCAAGGGGGCAGAAACATATAGCAGAGTTCAGTGGGTCTAATCTTGGCTTTGCCTCCCATAACCTTGGGAGTCAAGGTCTCCCCTTTCTGGACTTGCTTTTTCTTATCTGTAAAATATGGTGACACCTACTTCATCAGGTTGCTGTGAAGATTGGAGACGGTTGTGTTGAAAGCAGGCACACAGTCAAGGGCTCAGTACATGGGCGTTATCATGAGGAGGAGAGCAAGAAGGAAGAGGATGAACACACTCAGCAGACATCCAGATTCTTTTCCACTGCCCCCTCCAGTCTATTTGCAGTGTGTACCACACACACGATCCCTAACATACACATATAGCTCTAGGTGAGGGTGGGCAGGGAATGGTTGTAGCAAGAAAGAGGCGCGGGTCTGGGACACCTACGCCTGTCGCCAGCTGACTTGTTATTTGAGAATAAGAAAGATCTTCAGTCAGGATTCCTGGGCCACTAAGAGGCACTAGAGATAAAATGCTCTTTGTGACTCAGTTTCCCATTTGAAGATAGGACCCTTGTCTCTAGGGCCTGGGAGCCTGGGTCTTGGCTTGGGGCAGGGCTCAGCATGAAGGGCCTTGACCCAGCTCTGCTTGCCCTGGTGGATGACTAGGGAGGGGCCACACCTGACATGAATGTGCAGGTGAGGCAGCGCTGCCCATACGTGCTGTTCAGACATGTCAGATGACTTGCGACCTTTGCACGGATGCCGCTTTCCTTCTTATAGCTGGTTTTAATTTGCTTTTTACATTGCATCTTCCTTGGTTATCCCCCTGGATCTGACTGTTGTGAAGGAAGACCCTGCTGGATTTTAGGCTGTATCCCTCCTCTTGGCACCCCAAACCCGAAGTCATCAAAATCAGCTCCTGAGGACACCTGGGGCTTGTTCTTCATCCCTTACATCAGTTGGGGCCCTCTCCCTGGTGTTGTCTTCTCCCTGGCGTGACTTTGATGCAGCCTGATGCCCTGTGGGGCAGGGAGGAGCATGCTGACTGCCCAGTGTCATGGATAGATGGGCAGGCTTCCTCCTGCTCTGGCTCCCAGTCGGGAGTCTTGCTTGCTCCTCTCTGGCATATGGGTGAACCGTATCGAGGCTGTACCTTAGTGTGCTGCATGGAGGTTATGGTTCGGTGTACTGTAATGAGGCTGTACCTTGGTGTGCCGCATGGAGGTTATAGCTTGGTGTACCGTATGGAGGCTGTACCTCGGTGTGCCGCATGGAGGTTATAGCTCGGTGTGCCGTATCGAGGCTGTACCTCGGTGTGCAGTATCGAGGCTGTACCTCGGTGTGCCGTATCGAGGCTGTACCTCGGTGTGCCGTATTGAGGTTGTACCTCGGTGTGCAGTATTGAGGTTGTACCTCGATGTGCAGTATCGAGGCTGTACCTCGCTGTGCCGTATTGAGGTTGTACCTCGGTGTGCAGTATCGAGGCTGTACCTCGGTGTGCAGTATCGAGGCTGTACCTCGGTGTGCAGTATCGAGGCTGTTCCTTGCTGTACCGTATC